GTCAAGTTCATAAAAGTTAATATGGTATAGATTGAAAAAGGATTGCCTACTTTGATAATGAAAGCCAGGTAGGAACACCAGATGATTTCAGAACACTCCATAATGATACGTATTGCATTAAAAAGTAGATAGTGGTACGTGGTTACAGAAAGGATACGCGTGGAAAACAATATAACAATATGATGTAGAGTAGAATTTTTTATATTATATAAATTTTTTAAATTTTAAATTGCACGTTTACAATAATCTTTAAGCAAGTGAAGTGTGGATTGAATTTTTACAGTTTGTTTACCGTAGAGCCCTCCATATTTTTCGATATTGTTCGTCTGGTTAACCAACAGTAGTAGTAAGTTCCTATTTATTTAAATGTATGTGAAGAAAGGAAGACTAGAAATTTATTTGCAGAAGCATAGAATTTGCTAGAATAACTGCACAAATTCATCCGGTTTGGCCAGAAATGCCTCAAGGGCAAGGTGAATTGTTCTTCGAATGCACGCTGTTTCTTTATTCCGTGTTAGCATTGTTTTTGCAGTATCTCAATTTGTACAAGACAATGTGGTGGTTACCAAAATCATATTGGCATTATTCATTGGTAATTTTACACAAATATTTTATTATTTATTTGATTTGATTCATCTCGTTCATGGTTGTTTTATATATATATAGTAAAACTATAAACAGAGCAGTTTGAAAAGTTGTCAAATTAATTGTTTTTCTTACTTTATAATTTTATTTATTCTAGAAATTTCATTTAATTAATCCATATTTGCTGTCGTGTGTTGGTCTTTTACTTGGCGTACGGGTAACAAAATGTTTTTGGAGAACGGTAAGTAAAGATTTGACTATTTCTTTTTTAATTATTTTTGAAGGAAAATTAATTAAAGTTTTAAAAAATTTTAAAAATGGATTTAATGAAAGCCTTGGTATAGATTACCGAATTAGCAGCGACTGCCAGACAAGATAGATCGAAAGCTCATTACTTATTATGGGATATCGTAGAGTGGGCAGCCATTAAAACACCGATGTTTACGATGGTTGCAACATCATTTTTGTTCAGTTTTTCACGTGTTTATTTCGATTTTCCTTTCAAATCATTACTCTACTTTGGGCATCCGTAAGTTTGTTGTCAAAATTGAAATATACTTTTTTAAAAAGTTCTCTCTTTATCAGTAGTGTAAATAGCATCTTAAAATCCATGAAAAGAGTTTACGAATAAATTGTAAAGTATTCGAAATACAGTTAAGAAATTATTAGAAAGTAAGCATTCATGCAATATGCAATTAAGTTTTTGGATTTCCTTTATTTTGTCGTCATTCTTGGCATCAAAAATTTTATTTCATTGTGATTATAATTTGTAATTAATTTAAAAAAAAGAAATTTATAGAGTTGTTTTCTTCTTATATTTATTCCACGATAGTATATCATGTAAAATACGCTATTATTCTACAAAACTGTGGTTTATTCTTAATGGAAGATCACTATCAGAAGTATCGAAAGTAATTGCTATGTATCGTGGTGTCATGCAGTCATCTAC